TGAACAGAAACGGATAGAATTGTACTAGAGATGCTGGCAGTCTTAGACAGAATTGTACTAGAGATGCTGGCAGTCTTAGACAGAATTGTACTAGAGATGCTGGCAGTCTTAGACAGAATTGTACTAGAGATGCTGGCAGTCTTAGACAGAATTGTACTAGAGATGCTGGCAGTCTTAGATAGAATTGTACTAGAGATGCTGGCAGTCTTAGACAGAATTGTACTAGAGATGCTGGCAGTCTTAGATAGAATTGTACTAGAGATGCTGGCAGTCTTAGACAGAATTGTACTAGAGATGCTGGCAGTCTTAGATAGAATTGTACTAGAGATGCTGGCAGTCTTAGACAGAATTGTACTAGAGATGCTGGCAGTCTTAGACAGAATTGTACTAGAGATGCTGGCAGTCTTAGACAGAATTGTACTAGAGATGCTGGCAGTCTTAGACAGAATTGTACTAGAGATGCTGGCAGTCTTAGATAGAATTGTACTAGAGATGCTGGCAGTCTTAGACAGAATTGTACTAGAGATGCTGGCAGTCTTAGATAGAATTGTACTAGAGATGCTGGCAGTCTTAGACAGAATTGTACTAGAGATGCTGGCAGTCTTAGATAGAATTGTACTAGAGATGCTGGCAGTCTTAGACAGAATTGTACTAGAGATGCTGGCAGTCTTAGATAGAATTGTACTAGAGATGCTGGCAGTCTTAGACAGAATTGTACTAGAGATGCTGGCAGTCTTAGACAGAATTGTACTAGAGATGCTGGCAGTCTTAGACAGAATTGTACTAGAGATGCTGGCAGTCTTAGACTGAATTGTACTAGAGATGCTATAAGTCTCGGCGTTGACAACATTTCCAGACATAATAGATGAAATATACAACAGAGGTGAGATACCAGAAGGCCTAAATAAATCCATTTTCATAGTTCTTTCTACGAAACCATGTGCAAAAGAATGCGCCCTGCATCGGACAACCAGCCTAATGAACCATTTTACAAAACTTATCCACACCCTGGTGAATAGTGTGCATAGCAAAATTACTCCGGGAATAAGATACGAACAGTGCAGTTTCGTTAAAGACACGCAAGCAAGGAATGCAATATTTATGCACAGAATGATAACAGAAAGAACAATAAATATGAAATACTTATGTTATATAGATTATGTAAAAGCATCTGTCTATATTTCTGAGATGAAGTATTATGTACACTATTTACATTATTCGGACTATTGTCTTCATCTTTGCCGGCATATTTATTACAACGTTTCAGCCGTTGTACGCTCTGGCCTTCTTCAGGTTGTTGGAATGTCGATCTGAACCCTTTATTTCGCTCACTGGGGTAGACTGTTCTGGTTCCACATGCCAGGTTTAATGGATGTCAGTTATCAGTTATCCCCTGTTAATTACCCTCTGCAAGTTCTCCACTGCTCTAACCGGGTATTGAACTCACATTCTTTGGGTCCTGTCACTGGATCTAACCAATACCTTTATCCACTGTGCCATAACGTATGTCACAAGGAACTGCTTGAACTACTAGGTAAGCTTAATTTATTTTGGAAAGATATTAGAATAATGCAGACTTTATGCTGAGAGAAAACCGCCTTTATACAGAAAGAAAATGAATTCTGTAAATACACATAAACAGAAAGGGGCGTAAGATACCTACGTATCTTCTAATCAAACTTAATCAACTTTTATAATGAAGCAATCCTGAGAACATTAGGAGACCTAGCAGGATTCATTATTGGCTGCCACAATCTCAACAACCTAAGATATGCTGATGAGACAGTATAGATAACAGGACACTGAAAGGAACTACAGTAAACCTTACAACGGGTGGTAAGGGAAAATAAGAATAAAGCATTAAACATCAATTGCAAGAAATCAGAATGCGAGAAGGGACAACTCAACACCGCCGACTCAACACCGCCGACTGAGCCGAGACAAATCAGGACTGAGATAACTCATCACCAGAAAAACATAACCTTTTTATAACTAAATAAAAGTTATTTATTAAGGATTCAAACCTTAGTTAGTGGATATTTTTCTTAAAATATGGCATTTGAAAATGAATTAAGTAAAATATGAACCAGTTTTTTTGTTTTTAATTAAGAAAAACAAAAATCTGCTTCATTTTGTTTAGCATTTACGCATTTATCCACTGGTCCATGTGTCCTTGTGGGTTGCTTGGATCCAGTGACTTTACCCAAAGAGTTGTGAGTTCAATACCTCGCTACGGCAGTGTCGAACAAAAAACTTGGAGAGTTGAGTTAAAGGGAGATAAATGAGACATCCTGTAGCGGAATGACACGTGGAATTAGAACAATCTATCGCGGTGAACAAAATAAAAAGCGAAATTCCAATCATCTGAAGAAGGCGGGAGCGCACAATGACCGAAACGTCGTGAACCTGACAATAAAGACGAGAGCAACAGTCCGAACAATGTAAAATAATGTAAATAATTACAGTGCTTCATCTCAGAAATATAAACAGATACAGACGAAATTAATTCAGGACTAAAAAGAATTGAATCAATAACTCAACGATACAGTCACTGAAACACGCACTTGTTAAGACCCAACATCACATACGAAACACAGGCAACGACGAAATTATTTGTACGACCAATTGTCAAATTTGTTGTATTTAAACTATGGTTCTGGAAATTGAGTTTTGTATTCCTTTTATGCTTATTAACATATAATAAAAATGGCATTATACGGGCATTACATTCTGAGAAATACTACTTACATACTTGTACTTGTAACGGCATTATTCCTGGCGTGGGTTGAGCCGGCTCCAATATTGGAGTTTCATGGGAATTTGGAATTCACAAGCGGTCCCCAACCCACATGTATAGGCTTCAGATCAGTTCCCAGGAAACCGACAGCCCGACAACAGCACATGAGATTTGATTATAGTGGTGAATGTTTCGTGCAGAGCCATCCACATTTTTTGAAGGGCTGATTACAGGGACCTGGTGCACTACGTGCCACAAGGTCCCCAAACGACCGCCCGCAGGTTTTGAATTCAAAGTTTTCTTTCTCCTAAACCAGTTTCCATCCAAGGATATAGAACCCAGTCTGTCCTGTTATTTACCCATAGCTGGAGGGAGAAGAAGGGGATTCATACCTTTCCCGCACGTAAGTGAATGTAATGGATTCGAGTGGAATTCGAACTCGGCTCTCC